TCACGCCGCAATCCTTTCTCCTCCATTCTCCTCTCAGGATCTTGGGCACGCACACACACGCGCCGGGCGTGAGTTTTAAGCTACTGGGTCCGGGACGTGAACCGCGGTTGACTACGTGGGAGTCCAGTGACATAGCCATTACACTAACTGCTGGTTCCCAACCTGTGAGCTTTTCAGGCTAATTCACATACATGGACCTATGGTTTCTGCCCCCGGCTTTCAGTCTCAAAATAGGCACTACCTACAGCAGCTATGAAAAGTGGGGCTCCCAGCCCTCTTGGATTTCTACAGAGCTGCCATTTCCCATCTCTTCTGATGCATCCTCTGCTTCACCATGAATGTAATATCAATTTAATTCTGAATCCTCTTACTTCTCTTTCTTCTGACATGCATCAGTTCATTCCGGATCAATTACCAGGTGTACACAGACTAGCTCTGAACTGACAGCTTTGACATTTATCCCCCTCAGGCTCATGCTGTTTGCAGACTGAAAAGTCTTTTAGTGAATATTTTTCTAGTATTTAGTCTCTTCCCTTCCAAATCTCCCCCTCCCCCCATCCCCAAGGATCTCTGTTATTATCACTGTCTCTATCTTTCTGGTTCCTCAGGCTCGTCTTTCCCACACGTGAAAGCATTTTGTTATTTCTAAAATGTCTTAATGCTATGGGAAATGTTCTTTGTAATAATTGACAAAAGACAGAGATTGCACAGTGGTACGAGGAGGGTAGATAGAGGATTATGAAAAAAAGCAATTAACAGACACAGGAATGCAGGCACACGGAACAAATGGGATATGTAACAGCATACCACAACTGAGTGAAAAAAACAGACATGCCAATTTTATTTGTATTTATATATATCCAATGGGATGTTCTTTGTCAAGAACGATGAATATGGTATTATCCTGATTTGATTATCATACACTGTACACATGCTTTGAAAATCCACATTGTGCTCCACAAAAATGTACAATTAAATGTAAAAAAAAATGATAAAATAGAAGGTAGTAGCTCTACCTCACACATACTTAATGCCATTCAGACTCTCACCCATCCAGGAGCAACAGGGAGGCCCAAATTGCTAGGCCTGAGCTCATTAGAGAACCGGGCCCAGCCTGCTGTGGGGAGGCAGGGCTGCTCTGACATGAAGTGGTCTACCACCTTACATTCTACTTATCCAGCTCAACCTCCACTTTACATTCTACTTATCCAGCTCAGCCTCCACTGGGAGCTGAAAGATTTGGGTAAATAGGAGCCATCACCTGAAGACAGGAGACCCTGGAGGAATTCTCTTCCTACATCCCCTCTAGCAGTAAAAGGAGAGAAACTCTCCTTTGAAAACCTGAACCTAAAACTCCTACTGTGGATTTCATACTCCCATTCACAGTAGAGGAGGGAACCTGGCACAAGAGCTCAGGCACCCCAGAGGGAAAGGCACAAGGACACAGCTACAGAAATATACTCCAATAGATGTAGGAAAAATTGAGTATATTACAAGATGAGTAAAAAATCAAAGCAGAGCTTCAAGAAATAGGAGAAAACTAGGAAATACCTCCCCTTCAAGGGAACAAAATAACTCCTCACCAACAATGGATAAACATCAGAAATCACAGAAATGTCAGAAAAAGAATTCTGAATACTTAGTGTAACAAAACTCAGTGAGATACAAGAGAAAACAGACATCCAATTCCAGGAGAAGAGAAAACCCTTACATGACTTGAAGGAGGAACTCTATAAAGAGATAGACACACTGAAACAGAATAAGACAAAATTTCTGGAGATAAAGAATATGATACAGGAAATAAAAACCTCCCTCAAAATTATAAGGTCATGACATATCTTTCTATGCAAAAATGGATCAGGACTTTTCTGATGACCTAATATTAACAGCAGATTTGACCATGCAGAAGATTATCTTACTTTCGAGATGAAACCTCTGATCCCAACCAAGCAACCAAAAAGAATTGAAGAATAACCATTAAAAATCAGGACAGGGGGTGGCAGGTAGCATGGTGGTTAAAGGCATTAGCACTAGATAGTCACATGACTAAATGTGGTTCGAGTCCCAGACCTGGTGGCTTGCTTTCTCACCTTCCCTTTCTCTCTCTCTTCCTGTCTCTCTTTAGTCAGAAACCTCTGATCCCAACCAAGCAACCAAAAAGAATTGAAGAATAACCATTAAAAATCAGGACAGGGGGTGGCAGGTAGCATGGTGGTTAAAGGCATTAGCACTAGATAGTCACATGACTAAATGTGGTTCGAGTCCCAGACCTGGTGGCTTGCTTTCTCACCTTCCCTTTCTCTCTCTCTTCCTGTCTCTCTCTAGTCAAAATAAAAAAAAAATAATAATGACAAATGGAATGAAATAAATAAATAATAAATAAGTCCTTAAAAAAAAAATCAGGACAACAGACAGGAAATTCTAGACACCATTAAACAGCTAAATATTCACATAATTTGTATTCCAGAAGGTAAAGGGATAGGAAAAGGCATAGAAAATCTCTTTCATAATATATTAACTGAAAATTTTCTAAATTTAGAGAGGCATGTGGACATACAAACCCAGAAAATATAGAGGACACAAAATAGATACAATGTAAGAAGATCCTCTCCAAGGCATATGGTAAAAAAATCAAAGACAAGCACAATATTTTAAAAATGACAAGCAAGAAACACCAAGTTGCTTATAAAGGTCACCATATTAGACCAACATCTGACTTCACAACTGAAAATAATGCAAGCAAAAAAAGAATAGAAAGATTTTTTTAAAGAATTATTTATTCATTTATTTAATTCCATTTGTTATTATTATTATTAAATTTTAATTTGACCAGAGAGAGAGAGAAAGGGAAAGCAAGAAAGCAAGCCACTAGGTCCAGGACTTGAACCACAGTTGGTAATATGGAAATCCAGTGCCTTTAACTACCATGCCACCTGCCAGCCTAGTATATTTAAAACTCTGAAAGAAAAACAATTTCGGCCAAGAGAACTATACCCAGCAAGATTATCCTTCAAATGGGAAGGAGAAATAAAATCATTCCCAGATAAACAAATGCTGAAAGAATTCACCAAAACTAGACCAGTTCTTCAGAAAATACTTAAGGGAATACTACAGCAGGAAAACTAAAGGGAGATAATTACAAGTAAGATAACATAAAACAACTTGGAAAAAAGGATAAGTCCACACATATCAATAGTAACATTGAATGACAGGATTAAATTTCCCAATGAAAAGGCTAAAAATGCAGATTCAGCTATCTTCTACACAAACAGGCTAGAATACAAATTCACCAATTATTAGACAGACAGTTGTCTCCACAGGTCTCAATTTATATATTTATTACAGCCATTACTCATATAAGTAGGTAACAGAGAAAAAGTTCAAATTGTTCCTAGTAACTGAGTCTTTCTTTGGAATGAATTTAAAGGCGAAAGTCAAGAACTTTGTAAAGCTTTTAAATCACCAGATCACTGACTTGACCATGTCTTAATTTTTAAACATATCTTTACAATTTTGCTCTGCTTTTGCTTTTTTGAGGACTTATTGCTTTATGCAAAATACTATGGTTTTACAAGAACTCACTTTACACGGAGTGAGTAAAAGTTTTCTTTCTCAATCTCTTTCTAACGAGCAACTGTCATGTTCAATTTCGTCCGTCGCTGACTGGACCAAGGATACCACAGATCTTTTCAGAATATAAGCTCTCATCTCCCACAGTCCTCAACATGGAAATTACAAATTTTTCTTTCACTGGCATGTTAAAATTATGTTTGTTTTTAAAAAATCCATCCTCATTAATTTACGAGACTTTCTGTCTTTTGATTTTTAATCAATTTGTTTTTTCTTTAGAAAAACAGAAGCCTCTACCAAAATCCCCTCCCACCAAAGAATGGTCCTCCACCTTCATCCCTCTAATCCTACAGCCCTGTTTTCCCCCTGATCCTGACTCAACAATGATCTTCTGCCTAAGGTCTTCTCACTTGCTCTAACTGGCTGGCCCTTTCTTCCCTTTGCTCCATGTTGGAATACTCCATTGGCTATGATCAATAATCCTAGCTTGTGTCATATTGGTGTTTATAAATTCTGTTGTATCGAAAATGTTATCCTTATCTCACTCTCTGGACTGTTTTAGGAAACTATAAGCTCTTGAAAAGTATAGAACTTCCCTTGCAACTGCCCACAAAACATGGACTTAGCATGTAAGCAGGGCCTCAACAGGGGCTGCTGAGTAGGAGCTGCTGTGTCTTGAATGACACTATGTTTTTTTTCTTTTTTTCCCCCATTGGTCCAGGAAGGTTTAGGTGATTCACTGCTTATAAACTAGGGGGAGAAACAGGACATGCTATGAACTTTACTACTGAAGTGAATCTTTGAAGAATTTTTTTCCCTTTTAGGGAACAAGGTTTTACATGTCTTAGTGATATGAGTGCAGCTCCTGCTGACCCAGATTACAAGACTCCAAACAAGTTGACAAATGTGGCCTAAATAATGGAGCAGATGGGTCGTGGCAGAGTGGTGACATAATACGAATGAAAATGGTTAAAATGTACTGAAGGTTTACCATTTGCCAAGCACTATTTTGTGCACTATCAGTACATTAGTGTATTAATCACCATGACACCATGAGTTAGGCACCCCAGATGGAATGCAATTAGCACACAGGTTTCTCTGCAGGTCCAGTAAACAGACTAGAAAATTCATTGATCCTCTCCTTCTCTCTAAACCTACAGTCTTCCTAGCCTCGTTTCAGAACTCCAGCATTTATCCATGTCTTTATCTGAGCACATCTACCTTTCCCACCTATTATCTTCTGCAAGCCACAGCTGTGTTACCTCTCCTCATAGCGATGGGCTTGTGACTTACACATCGAGGAGCTTAACAGATAACTGTTCAGTGGAACCGAAAGCAGACCTTGGGAGATCAAGTTGGCTTACACAGACCAAAATATAGACATTTATTACTTGTCAAGTCTTACTCTAAACCATAAAGAAGTCACTTACATTTAAATTCATGCAGGTTATACTTTCTGGATTCATGATTTGAGAAAAAATGGACATAGCTTTTGCCACTTGGTTCTAGAAGAAAACAAAAGTCATACAGCAAATCATAAGAACATTATTCTTCTACCATAAAAATCATTTAGAGAAGGCAGGGTATTCCTATTTATGGGGCCCCAGGGTTTTGAAATCTTCAAAAAAGGTCA